ATTGAAGGAGCAAGAGGATTTGTAAGCGATATTTAAATCTATGGATGAAAAAGGAATGCGTAAATATCACTTAGAAATTAAGTGCTATTTCATCATTATAATTAATCATCACTTTCCATCCCTGGCAGTGGTAAAGGCCAGACTAGAAGGGGCTTTGAGCCACCTGGTGTAGTGGAATTTGTCCCTGTCCATTGGAACTGGATAAGCTTTAAGGTCTCTTTCAACCCAAACCATTCTATGGCTCTATGCTGAGATCTTGTTAGGATTTAGAAATTTTGTGTGGTGTTCTGAATAGAAATTCAGAATAACTTAGTTACTAGGAAGTCTTTTACCAGAATGTGAAGGCAGAGAACTCACCCCACTCCTCTGTCTCCCACTCATGATTTGTTTTAATACCCACATAATGATTTATCATGTCTCTGATCCACCACAGCCAGGAACCTGCTATAAGCTTTTATTTGCATGGCACAAATTCTTGTTGCTCCACCCTTGCGTGCTATGACTCAGGCATAATTTTAGGTTGGCTCAGCTTCCTCCATTTTGTGGCCTTATAGATGTACACAGTCACAGATTTGTTTTTCTAACCACAGAAAATATAGGACATGACTTTCCAAGGAATAATTTGTCACGCTAGCCGGGTATTTCATTTCAAGAGCCAATCGTGAAGCCAAAAAACTTAACAAATGAGCAACGTCCCCTTTTCTAGCTAGTTTACTGAGATGACATCTGTGAATTAGACCACTGGTATCATGGTTAGCTTTTAAAAGTTTCTTTAGCAGCATCTTTTCAAGTTCAGTGCTGAATTTACTGAATAGCCCTACATCTCCTTCTGTCATGACTAAAGAACAAAAGTAAATTTCCACAGTTTAATGAAAGCGTGCAACTCAGTGAGTGCAAGAAGAAGGTATAAGACGAAGAAGAAAACCAAATAGACTCTACTACTGCTCTTTACTGCCGTGTTGATGTAACCTCTGCTGTATCACAATGAATGTCTGGGCAATCTTGCAGTGAACTGGGCAGGAATCTGACTGATATTGGTTACTTTTCAGCACAAAACAAAAATTAAAAGAACTGGGAAAAAAATCAGTAGAAGCAGGGAATACTTCAGTTGCCAAAAACAGGATCGTGGATCATTACCTGGAGGGAAGATATAGAAGAAGGACTGGATAAATTAGAAGAACTAGGAGCAAGAGATAAAACTGGTGGTGCTGCATTGAGTTTGATGCAATTTCAGCCTGCTGGAAGTTCAGGTCACATTCCCACCCTAAAGCCCCTTACATAAAATGTAGCCAATGAGCCAATCAAGAAAAGTTTTGAGAGGTTTTTTTTAGGTTTGGGGGTGTTGGGGTTTTTTTTGGATCACCTCAGTGACTCATTTTACCTTGCAGCAGCCATAAAATCAGCAGAACCAACACAAAGGAAATGGCAGGGAGTGGGAAAGAGGAACTAACTGTCTTCAATTAGATTTTATATCACACACTAAGGGGACTAAGTCTAGTTAACAAAGGCTTAAAATACTACATCATAGTACAGGTTGCACACTGAATCAAAAGAGGACTGGTAGAATAAGAAGAGGTAACAGGTCACAAAATAGAGGAGCACTGCAAAGTATTCCTATTTATATTTGTTGAGTCTTCCAGGGGTGAAAGATTAAATAAATTGGGAAAAGTTAGCACAGAAACAAGAGACCTGTAAACAAAGGCAGCCACAAGTAAAAGAAACTAGGAAAAAAAAACACAGCAGGGAAAAAAAAAAGAAAAGGGAGTTGGAGAAAATGTGTGTGTTTATTGGCTGCAGACAGAGAACTGCCGGAAGAACAGGATGATCTGCCAGGGTGCCTGCAAAAGCCCCAGTCGCCTGACCTACGGAAGAGAAAGCCCACGGGAGAGCAGAATTAAGTGAGCAGAGAAGGGAGAGAAGGAAGTCAGGCTGATTTCGAAATGTTACTTTTTAGATGTTTGGAGGGGGGTGAGGGGGTGCAGACCTACATCAGCTAGACTCTGAGTTTCAAGTTCAAATTCTCCATAAACTTTTCTCCTTTCCTGAGTCTCTTTCAATACACACACGGAAACCTACACAGACACTTTCATTTGAGCAGTGCCAATACTATTCATTATTTTTGTCGGGGATTTGCTGCAATGTATTTGATAATGCCCAAACAACCCCACCTCTGGATGGGCTCTTGTTTAACACTATCTTTTCTGGTAAAAATGTCTTTTAGGTTTAGAACTCGTAAATCTTCACTCAGGAAACTGGAACAAAGTATGTCTGTAAAACACACAAGATTTAATTTCTAATTTTTAGCTGTTGGGAGTGAAAATCCTAATAAAGCTCAAGCCATGATTTCACGATAGAGGGGCCAGAGTACTCATTTTCATCTATGCATTTTCCCTTGGCCTTCCCACCAATGCTTCTAGGATTGCACTGTGAAGCAGAAGAGTGAATCAAATTGAGGTAGAGTTAATTTTCCTTCCTTTAAATCCAGTCCCTTGTGTTACCTCACAAACACTGAAATGGTGAGAAAATAGTGTGGGAACTCAACCGAGCAGCTGGGGGAAGATGAAGCAGTGGGAATTGTTAAAACGTGTTCACTGCCAAAGCTTCTCTACAATGAAAATGCAGACTCAGTAAGTAAAAAGAAACATAAAAAGACAGATTTGTTTGCTACTAAAATCATTTTCCAGTGTAAGTAAACTGTTAGCTAGAATAAGGTGCACTGCTGAACTAAGGGGCTTGGAAGGAAGTATGTATGTATACAAACAAGACAAAATAAAAGTGCACAGAGGAACAGAGGTCAGGGTGGCCGGGTACGTGCATGTATATAAACCACACCATGGACAAAGATAAAATTGCATGGACAATCTTCATATTGGCATTTGCTAGGTTTTTCATCATTTCACTGCTGACACATTTGTTCTCTGTTACTATTTCTATTGCAATGACCTCTGTATTTTAGAATAATTTTTTTTTTACAAGAAAAGCAGCTTGGACAGTGAAAACCATACTGTCTCACATATGTCGTTTACTAACAAGCTTCATGACCTTTTTGCCATTGGATTTCACAGCTGCTGCACTGTAGTGATGGGCTGTTGAGACTCAATAGCCTTTAAATCTACATGAGAGAACACTCCACTGTGTATCACCTTCATAATTCTCCACCATCATCTGTCCAGTCTTTCCTTTCTGTTTCTAAACCCTCTACCCCAGGGCTGACGTCCTTTTTTTCTGCCTTACTACTGCTTTTGCAATGAAGTCAGGCGCTGCTTCTTTGCCACTCTTCATGTACATCAAAAAAAGGAGATGGTGAAGGGACAAGGAAATGAAACCCCTCTCCCAAATCCGGTCTCAGCCTGTGGGAGAAACAATTTGAGGAAGATTTCAGGAAGCTGTGAGATTAAATATGTTCCGTCATCCTCTAACAGAAGCAAATCTAAAGGTGGCTCGCTACTTAAGAGCTGGGAGGGCTGGGGCTCTTGCACAGTGTGGGATTTCTTTTTTCTGTCTTTTTGATAACATTGAAGAAAATGCCCCAATATAGTGAAAGAAACAACAAAAACTAGAGAAATATGTCTTTTTAATGAAGATTATGGAAGATTACTTAGCTCTTTCATAAATAATTCTACTTTGACACACAGGAACGTCTTGTGCACAGTTTCCATCAGCTGTGGAAATTCTCAGGATGATCTGACCTACCAGCTGTGGCTTCATGACCACGTGCAGGCACAGACCTGCCTGGCATAGTTCTGCTTTCCATTCCGATCACACTTACAGGCTGTACTTGATATTTTCCACGACACCAAATATGAATACCTGGGACTTGAGTTTTTAACCCTCTTCAACAGCAACTTTTTCCTTTCCCTCCTCCATAGGCTCATGAAGTGAAAAATAACAACCCCTGAGGAACAATTTTTATTTCCTAGAAAGCTCAGGTTAGCGTAACCCCAGCCTGAGACATGAAAGGACAAACTTACCATCCAGCACATGTTCTGCATACACTCAAGGTACCAGAACTTGAGTTTTGTTTCCTCCCTGCCCCTCAGCAAACTCTCCCCAACCTCCTTTCCTATATGTACTTCTTTTGTTTCACTGCTAACAAAGCCCAAACAATACGTGTCCCCAGCCTGCTCTGTATGATACATTACGAGCTAATGATCATAGAATCACAGAACATAGAATCAACTAGGTTGGAAAAGACCTTTAAGTCCAACCAGGACTGCCAAGTTCACCACTAAACTGTGTCATTAAGGGCCTCATCCATACATTTTCTGAACATTTCCAGGGATGCCGATTCCACCACTTCCCTGGGCAGCCTGTTCCAGTGCTTGACAACCCTTTCAGTGAAAAAATCTTTCATAATATCCAATCCCAACCTCCCCTGGCACAGCTTGAGGCCGCTACCTCTTGTTCTATCACTTGTTATTTGGGAGAAGAGACCTCACTACAACCCCTTCCAAGTAGGGATAGAGAACAACAAGGTCTCTCGTCACTCTCCCGTTCTCCAGGCTAAACAACTCCACCACCCTCAGTTGTTCCTCATAAGACATGTGCTCCAGACCCTTCACCAGCTTCACTGCCCTTCTCTTGATCCGCTCCAGAACCTCGATGTCTCTCTTGTAGTGTGGGTCCCACAACTGAACACAGTATTCGAGGTGCGGTTTCACCAGTGCTGAGTACAGAGGGACAATCACTGCCCTGGCCCTGCTGCAACACTATTTCTGATATAAGCCAGGATGCAGTTGGCCGCCTTGGCTGCCTGGGCACAAGCTGGCTCATGTTCAGGGGCTGTCAATCAGCACCCCCAGATCCTTTTCCACTGAGCAGATTTCCAGCCACTCTTCCCCAAGCCTGTAGCACTGCATGGGGTAGTCGTGGCCCAAAACAGGATCCAGCACTTTGCCTTTTGAACCTCATACCTCATACACAGGTTTGGATCATCCATCCAGACTGCCCAGATCCCTCTGAAGAAGCTCCCTACCCTCCAGACGATCGGACACTCCTACCCAATTTGATGTGTAAGTGTGCGCTGGGTAACTGCACAACCGGGCCCCAAGCCACACACGACCAGCATCCACGTCGACAATACCAGCCCGGCCGCCGCGACAGGCGGGGCCAGATGCCGACACCCCCCTGCCCGCCGCAGGGCCCAAGCTACAGCCGCTCTAGGCGGACCTCCCTCCACCGCCCCCGCCCCTCTCTCCTGGGAGAATCCAACTGCTGCTGGGGAGCAGGGGAGTTCCGATTTCTGTGGCAGCTCGGAGGGGTGAGGAGGCGCAACCGCTCGTTCCTCCCGCCTCTTCACTATGCTGCTCTGAGGCGATGCCAGCCGCCGAGGTGAGGGAGAGTGAGGCTCCAGGAGCCACTACATCCCTATACTCCCCGTCTCGCAGGAGCTGTGGTCTCGGCCGGAAGCGGCGGGTGGTGCCTGGCGCCGAGCTCTGGCGGCGTCGGCGCTGGCGGTTGAACAATAGTGGCGGGGGGTGTTGAGGTGGGTGGTAGTACGGAATCGGACCAGCTCGGACCGGGCCGCGTGGCGGTGAGCGCGGTGAGGAGCCTGAGGAAGGGGCTGGGAGGGAGCCGGATGGGAGGGACCAGGGCAGCCCAGCTCAGCCTCCGGGGAAGGGAAGGGAAAGGAAAGGGGTGCGCGGGCGGTGAAGCGGCGGAATGGCTCGGTCCCTGCCGTCCCACTATACGGCTTGGCTGCCCCCCCCCCCCCCCCGAGGAAGAAACTTTCCCAGGACGCTGCCTCCCTCGTTCCGCCTGCTTTGGGTGGGCCGGGCGGCGTGAGGCGCTGCCAGGCGGGGGGCGGCCGGCTCTTCGCCCGGGTGGCGGTTGAAATAACGGTCCCGTCCCTTGTGGTGACCCGTTCCCCCACCCTTCCACCACAGGGCACTATGAACGAAGAGCAGTTTGTGAGCATCGACTTAGACGATGACAACGTCTGCAGCGTCTGCAAGCTGGGGACCGAGAAGGAAACGCTCTCCTTTTGCCACGTTTGTTTCGAGCTGAACATCGAAGGTAACGCTTTAGAGGAGTCGTCCTGTGCGAGCTTCGTACTTGCACTGCTTGGCTTAGAGCTGGAGCAAACAGAGCTTTTCTCTGAAGGTTTTCATAAAGACTTAGGTTTAGAAAGGTGTATATTTATAAAGTTTTCTTGCTGGCCGAACTACTTTAAGTTCCTAAATACCGCATTTCCAGTAAAGGTGGGTGCCCTAGCTGCTGTAGATGTAAAGATACACCCCTCTTCAAAGAGCTTCTGAAATGCCCTGGCATTAATTTCGTCTTCTGGTATTAGACCTCTGATGTTAGTTCAGATTGGAAGCAGTTAATATTCTGCCTTTATTCAGGGTTTTTGCTCAGTAGTTAGAGGGAACTTTGTGTAAAACTTAATTCAGTTTCAAATTTTAGAGGATAATAGGTTGGGTTTTGTTTTGGTTTTTAAGATTAATGTCTTACTACAAATAATCAGAGGATTCTTTCTTTTTGCTTTCATAAGATGACAGTGCATTTCGTCTGATAAAGCTGGGTTCATTGTCAAAGCTTCTTAAAAGTTTGCAAATTATAAAATAGGAATTTTGTCCATCTTGTAACAAACTAATCTTGTGCTACCATTTTGGCCTCCGGTATGGTATTTAGAATTTCTAACCTTCTGCTGAAGAGCTTGCTCATCTTGTTGCTTTTCTTCATATATGAATCAAGTGTTGGTCATGAATAAACAGGGAATTAGTTATTTCTCTTTTAAAAATCAAATAACAAAATTTTAAAAAGTACGAATATTGTTGCTTGATTTTGACACAACAAAGTAGTTTGTTCCATTTATATAAAGTATTATTTGCCAATTGTATGTGCATGTGACTGCTTGGAGTAATCTGTATTGGTAGAAGGCAGTTGAATATGAAGATCTTAACACAGTTCTGTGAATAATCCCATTTTTTCATGACAGATTGTAAGATTTGTTTTATCTCTGATATATATGAGGGTACACAAAAGGTCTTAATTCTGAGTGGAAAGTACCAAGAGAGATAAGCTCTGTACCCGGTCAGCTAGTTGCTTATTACAAACACTAGAAGCATAAAACTGACTTAAATATAGGGGGCTGTAAGGATATGTATTCCATACAGTTTCTATTATGCATCTGACTTTAAGGTCATTGTTGCTACTAGAGGCAATATGTTTTAATCTGAACTTTCAGTAGCAATTTGCATGCTGTATGTTTTTGTTTAGAAGAGATATGCTTTCTGATAAAACTCGGAGCGACTGTCTAAGATCTTGAGTTTTCTTACTGTTTTAAATTAGGTTTACTGTTCTCGTGTGGAGTGAAGATGTTTCATGCATTAGGCTTTAAAATGAGGAAAAAAGCCCATGTTGGCATAATGACAATTAAGTACTTTGGTTACAGTCAGAATCTAGTTTTGTTTTGAAAGTGTTGAAACATAAAATGATGCATTAAAAAAATGCTGGATGTTTTCTGTCCTCTGTTTTTTGAGATAAGCTGTGGATTTGTCAAAGTTACTGCTTTACAAAATAATCATTCGTTTTAGCTGGAACAGTTGTGTTTTTTTCTGGAATTCTGAAGTAGCCTTTATAATAATAAAGACTTTAATCTCTGCAGCAGACTACTTTGCATAATCTTCTAAATTTTTGGTTAATTTAAAAAGAAGGCTGCTTATACAGAATAATGATGAAAGCTCACCTGAAATTACATGAATTGTTACAGGCTTAATTTTTATTTTGCACAGTAGAAGCATTAATACCTTTGATTATTACAGCATCAAAATACCTCAGTTTCTGATCCTGTCTTCTGTGTACCACTTTGAAAAGTGATACTGTTACTGCTGATAGGGAGAGGCAACTTAAAGGTGGCAGAGGCTGCATAAGTGACTTTATAAAGAATCATTATCAGATTTTTCAGCTGAACCACTGCATGAGCCAGCCCTTTACTATATCCACAGTCACACACTTCCTACTTTTGACAAATCTACTGCATTCCTGTATTTTCCTGTGACAAAAGCTGTGATTGTTATATGTTATATATATATATACATATATATAAAAATCTTTTGGCAGCCCTTGGTATGGAATGAAATGGATAATTCACTAACTCAGAATGTTAGACTCAATATTTTCATATTGACCTCTTGCTTATATTTTAATGAAGTTCAAATGCGTTATAGCTCCAAGTTGAACAGAATCAACAGTAAGTTGTATCATAGAATAATTAGGGTTGGAAAGGACCTTAAGAACATCTAGTTCCAACTCCCCTGCAATGGGCAGGGACACCTCACACTAAACCATATCACCCAAGGCCTCGTCCAACCTGGTCTTGAACACTGCCAGAGATGGAGCATTCACAACCTCCCTGGGCAACCTATTGCAGTGCCTCACCACCCTAACAGGAAAGAATTTCCTCCTTATATCCAATCTAAACTTCCCCTGTTTAAGTTTGAACCCATTACCCCTTGTCCTATCACCACAGCCCCTAAAGAAGAGTCCCTCCCCAGCATCCCTATAGGCCCCCTTCAGATACTGGAAGGCTGCTATGAGGTCTCCACGCAGCCTTCTCTTCTCCAGGCTGAACAGCCCCAACTTTCTCAGCCTGTCTTCATACGGGAGTTGCTCCAGTCCCCTGATCATCCTTGTGGCCCTTCTCTGGACTTGTTCCAACAGTTCCATGGCCTTGTTATGTTGAGGACAGCAAAACTGCACACAATACTCCAGGTGAGGTCTCACAAGAGCAAAGGGGCAGGATCACCTCCTTCGACCTGCTGGTCATGCTCCTTTTGATGCAGTCCAGGATACGGTTGGCTTTCTGGGCTGCAAGTGCACACTGCTGGCTCATGTTCATTTTCTCATCAATCAACACCCCCAAGTCCTTCTCTGCAGGGCTGCTCTGAATCTCTTCTCTGCCCAACCTGTAGCTCTGCCTGGGATTGCTCTGACCCAGGTGTAGGACCTTGCACTTGTCATGGTTAAACTTCATGATGTTGGCATCAGCCCACCTCACAAGTGTGTCAAGGTCCGTCTGGATGGCATTCCTTCCCTCCAGGGTATCAACCGAACCACACATCTTGGTGTCATTGGCAAACTTGCTGAGGGCGCGCTCAATCCCACTGTCCGTGTCGGCGATGAAGATGTTAAACAAGACTGATCCCAACACCAATCCCTGAGGGACGCCACTCATTACTGGTCTCCAGCTGGAGCCATTGACCACAACTCTTTGTGTGCAGCCAGCCAGCCAGTTCTTTATCCACCGAGTGGTCCATCCATCAAATTGATGTCTCTCCATTTTAGAGACAAGGATGTCGTGTGGGACAGTGTCGAATGCTTTACACAAGTCCAGGTAGATGACATCAACTGCTCTACCCCTGTCCATCAGTTCTGTAGCCCCATCATAGAAGGCGACCAAATTGGTCAGGCAGGATTTCCCCTTAGTGAAGCCATGCTGGCTGTCACCAAGCACCTTGTTGATTTTCATGTGCCTTAGCATGCCTTCCAGGAGAATCTGCTCCAAGATTTTGCCAGGCACAGAGGTGAGACTGACTTATCTGCAATTTCCCGGGTCATCCATTTTCCCCTTTTTGAAAACAGGGGTTATATTTCCCTTTTTCCAGTCGTCGGAACTTCACCTATCTGCCATGATTTCTCAAATATGATGGACAGTGTGTTCCTCATTAATATTTTTCCTTTTTGTCTAATATCGTATTTAAAAATCCAAACAGTTTAAATGCATACATAAGCAATTCAGGAAGCAAAATACACAACTCTAAAGAGGTAATCATGCAACAGCTAGGATAGTGCTTAAGGCTTGCTCATTCTTAGTGTTGGATGATGTGCTTGTGTAACTCCTCAGTGAAGTAGGAAATAGCAGGCAGGCTATTAGCCACACCTCAGCATCTTGCAGGATGCTTAAGTACTCCCACTGTTTGCAGCACACTGTAAACTTCCATGTGTTAAGGACTGTCTGACTTAAGGGGAATGTTTAGTGCTGCTTCCATCTTTCTGGACCATCCAGTCCTCACTAGGAGGTGGGTCAGGACGGAAGGGAGCATTGCAGATGGTGGTGGCAGTG